GTAACAGTCGCCTATAGACATAAGCAGTACCAAGGACATAATAGGGTTCTGTTTTGCCCATGATACCCTCCATGCGTGGGAGGAAAGGGATTGTTAGTAATGAAGTTTGACATCCCAATTGTTAGCAATATTAGTCCTATTAGGTCAACGTCTACGTGGTTTTTTTTTTTTTTTTTTTACAACACAGGGGGCAAACGAGCATGCGGCTCACCTGATGGTAAGTGACTACCGCCGCCCATAATCACCCACAACACCTACGGCATTGCAGGTGTGCTGCCGGCCTTTTAAAAAGGAATATGCTCTTTTCTTGAAGGTTATGTTGTCGTATCGGTTCGGAAATACTGCTGCTGGAAGTTGATTCCAAAGAGTGGTTGTGCGTGGGAGAAAGTGCCTTGAAAAACGCACGGTGGAGGACCGCCACTCGTCCAGATGGTTGGGATGAAATTTTAGTTTATGGCGGGTTGTACGATGGTGAAAATCAGCAGCAGGTATCAATCCGAACAATTCTTCAGAGCACTCCCCATGATAAATTCGGTAGAAGATGCACAGAGATGCAACATCTCTACGCAGTTTCAGTGGGTCGAGCCGGACAGTAAGACGCCGATCGTCAACAATTCGAGCTGCCCGACTTTGAATGCGGTCTAATGGAAGGAGTTGGTACTGTGGCGCTCCTGCCCACAGGTGAGAACAGTATTCCATGTGTGGCCTCACTTGAGCTTTATACAGTTTAAGGCGGTTTTCTGGCGTGAAATACCGTCTCACCCTATTGAGCACCCCCAACTTTTTGGAAGCTATCTTAGCTTTTTCCTCCAGATGACCGCAAAACTGGACGTCGCTAGATATATCGACGCCAAGAATCCCCAGACTCGACTTATTATCAAGGGAAGTGCCCTGAAAGTGAGGAGATACGACAAACGGTGTCTTTTTTGCGGTGAACGCGCAGACTTGTGTCTTCTTAGGGTTAAAGTGAACAAGATTGCGTTCACCCCAGATCGAAACTTTATCGAGTGAAGTTTCGATTTCAGACACAAGTCTGTTCCGGAGCTCATCGGTATGTGCCCGCGAGATCTTTGCATGACCGGTGTATAATGCATCTCCTGTACTGTCGTCCGCATAACAATGAATATCACTGATCTGTAACATATCATTGATATGCAGAAGAAACAGTGTCGGAGATAGTACACAGCCTTGCGGGACACCAGCATTCACAGGTTTTAAGTCAGAGCATGCTCCGTCGACTACGACCTTAATGCTACGTTCCTTAAGAAAGCTGGCGACCCAACTGCACAATCTCGCGGGCAACCCAAACGAAGGTAGTTTCGAGATTAGTGCCCTATGCCACACCCGATCAAAGGCTTTCGCAATATCCAGACTAACAGCTAAGGCCTCTCCCCCATTCTCGATTGCCACCGCCCATCGGTGTGTTAAATAAATTAAAAGATCACCAGCCGAGCGTCCTCGTCGAAAGCCGTACTGGCGGTCTGAGATCAGCTGGCGATCCTCTAGGTACCGGAGCAGTTGATCGTTAATAACTGATTCCATGACTTTCGAGAATAAGGAAGTAATAGCTATGGGCCTATAGTTAGCTGGATCTGAGCGGTCTCCTTTTTAGGGATCGGATGCACCAAAGCAGTCTTCCAAAACTTTGGGACTATACCTGATGAGTAACAGAGCCGAAAAAGACGCGTAAGAACCGGAGCCAACTCTGGTGCGCACGTCCTAAGCACAATTGGAGGAATGCCATCGGGCCCACTCGACTTATGGATTTCAAGGGAGAAAAGTGCTCTACGCACTGATCTTTGCGTGAATTTAACATTCGGCATAGAGCTCTTACAACGCGGAATGGTCGGCGGTAGTTTCTCTCCGTCATCCAACGTCGAGTTTGATGCAAAGAGAGATCCAAGGAGATCGGCCTTCTCTTTGGCGTTCAGAGCCAACGAGTTATCCTCCCTGCGCAATGGTGGAAAAGATGACTGACAGAAATTCCCTTGTGCAGCTTTGTGGTTCCCTCTGAAAAATCATCATGAACAATTCTTATTGAATTCGTCACGATGGGCTAACTGACCAGCTTCATCCTCACCTATCATCCTTCACTGGCGCCCCGCCGGCACAACCATGCAAACACGACTGCTTCACGGTAGAAACATGAATGGGACAGAGGTGCCAAAGCAAACAACTTTTGTACAAAGTCTCCCTCTGGTAATACAATACAATAATTTTTTTTTTCTTTTATTAATATAATACAACTAAATACGCTGTATTTAAACAATGATATACAAAACATTGTATCAATGTACAATCGTCTACATAATTATGGTTTTTCCAAGAGACTACAGCATGGATTTCTTCAAAAAGGAATAAAAAGTTTTTCTAGGGTTGGCAACGTGTGCGTAATGAAGGCATTCATAGGCTACAGTAAACAGTATTTGTATACGCTTATCAGTCGCAATTAGTTTTTTTATTAACCAAATAGTTAATTATAACCATCATCAGAAATTAGAACAGGGCACGAATTATCATGCGAACGGGAGATAAGAGGTACGCATGAGAAATTGAGTGAAACTACGAGAAACTGCATTAGTGCAATATTATCTTGTAATTATTTGTATTTATTGTAAGTTTACTATTGTAATCATAAACGACAAATATTCGTGTAAGCTTGTATTAAGTTGTAAATAGTTTTTTATGCATCTGAGAGAAACACAGAGAGAGAGAGAGAGATAATCAAGATACGAAAATAGATAGATCATATAAGACGAGAATATGTCATAAGTAGTTATGAAAATGGGAGATAAGGGGTTCGAGTGAGAAACTGCTATGAACTGCAGTAAACGCCTATTATTCGTATAAGCTTATACTCGTATTCAGTCGCAATTAGTAACAATATCACTAACTTCGTGCTTATCACCATGCTTCAGGCACCCTTGTGCATTTACGAGGAACTATTTGTGTTTCTCTCGTCATTGGTACTTCCTCGTTCTGATGTACCCATAATAAAAGGGACGGTGTTCTGATAAGAATGGTAACGTCGCAATTTCCTCTCAAGTTTTGTGATATTAGGAACGATTGGGTGTATCACTAATTTACATTTTCATTATAAATAAATTAGTGACATTTTGTTATATATCTAGTAGCCTTCACACCAGGATTTGTTGTTTAAGAAATAAAAAAATAAAAAATAGAAAATTTTGCTTCGCATAAAATATCACCTTCTATTGTGACAAATTAATATTAAAATCTAACTATTTTATCAATCGACTTCAAAAATAAGAAGAAGTTCTTAATTCGGTTGTATTTTTTTTTTTGTTATTTTAGAGCTCTATATTTGTCTCGTAGAAATGTCATCAAAGTCGATCTAGTGGTTTCGTTTTTAAATCAAAATATCAATTATTTTATATTTATAGAACTTATTACTTTAAACCGAATTAAAGTAATAATTTCTATAGTTCTAAAGATACATTAGATTTAAAAAAAAAAATTAAACACATAATCTACTTATGGATACAACAACCTTATTTTGCTTCATGCATAATATATAATGGCACCAATATAGATGCAAAATCTATGATTGCAAAAGAAATTATGGAAATCGGTACAGATCTGTCGATGGTATTGCGTAAGATGCACTCAAAACAGAAATACAAGTAAAACAAGAACGTCTCCTATTGCAGGTTATATTGCATATTACAGGTATATAAAAGTTTCATAAAAAAAAAGACTTCAAGTGTAGCAAAACCCAATTTTAATTAAAAATTAAACTACTAAACTGATTTTGATAACATTTTTATGGAATTAATTTGGAAATATATCCTTTCAGATAAAGAAATAATTTTCCAAATCGGTTTACAACTGTTGAACAAAGTTGAACGAGATAACAAACATAAAAAATACAAGTGAATTATAATAATAATAAGTTTATTTCAAAATAAATGTCACAAACATTTTTAAATATAGAGGAAACCCTGCTCCCTAAATAGGTAAATCCTGTACTTTAGGATAAGCAGTGCTCTTCCATATACGGTATAATATATAATAACACTATATATATATATATATATATATATATATATATATGAAAAAGAAACAGTAAAACTTAACTTAAGTAAATAATATATAAATAATAATTTAATTTGTCCAAATAATATTTTTTAAGTGAATGTTGACTATCTAATTTGTGAGTGTATGGAATGGATGAGTTATTGTAAAATGGCAGTCATAATTTAAGATACTACTAATAATAAACCTTCTTTCTTTTGGAGGTAAGTTGAAAACAATTTCTAGAAATATACTACTTTGTATTATATTCTCAGAAGTTAACCCGGAACGCTGTTACACAAAGCATCTTTAAGCCTATCAACCTCGGAGGTCATCATCTTATTTTTTTTTAATCATTGGTCAAAAAATATCATCTTAAACGTTTATGTAGCCATACAATTGCAAAAATAATGATTCTAATAGGTTTCGTATAATAAAAAATAAAAGATTTTTTAAATTGGGAAGGCCATAAAATGAATTGTATTATGGAACATAATGCTGACAATTAATGCGCTAATTGCGAAATTATTCCATTACTTCCATATGAAGCGTTTTTTTTTCTTTTTAATTCATAGAACAAACATTTATACAGATAAAATTTAAATATGTTTTTTTATTACACAGCACTTTATTAAGTTTTTGTGATTTACTTATTATTTCTAATAATTATTTAGAAATAATTAGTAAATCACAAATTATAATGAATAAATTATAATATTTACAATACAATTTAGTATATATTTTATATAATTAAGAAGTTAGTTCTGTTCTTATAATTAATTTTACATTTCTACATAAGTTGTGCCCACTTCAATGTTTTAGAATACAAAATAAAAAAATAATAATAAACAAGGGCAAGAGTCGAGGAGTAGCCCTGGAGGTATCATAGATATTTGATATTATTAATGTAAAAAAATATTAAATTTCAATTTTAAATTCTATAAATATAAAAATTAAAAACTTACCATATCATCATAAAAAGGCATGAGGATGGTTACTATCCGCTTTATGTGAATGTAGCATAACGTCCAATTTACGTTGACCCCAGAACACGAAGGTTGGTCTTTAGACCACGAGTCATTATGATCAACAGTCTCCAACCCACCTATTTTGACTGACAATCACTTTTTTATTCATCGAAAAACCACCGACCACTGCACCAGTGTCATAACAAAAAGTAATGTCAACAAAATTTCAAAATTCGAATTCAGTTACAAAAAGAAATAAAAATGAAAAATTTCAAGCAGCCAGTTCTTTAAACACAGTTATTCTTATAGCGATAATCGAAAGTTATTTATGATCGAATTTTAAATTTAGAAAGAAAAGTTTTTCGTATCGTTGTTTCGGCAAGAGTTTTTCAACGGCAGGCGTGTACTCCCAGCGACTTCTGAAACACGACTGAATGTTCGCACCATAATTGCGGCTCTTGCCTGAAATTTATCTGTTGCGGTACGTATTGCCGAATCGTACATTTACACATTTGTCTGGAAGGGTTTACAGATAAAATGTGTTCAAAATTTTTATATCTAAATCCCCAATGATCCATTTCTGTACGTACGTTGTAGAATGTAGCAATGAAATTAGAATAAAATCCCTACTTTATTGTAAACAAGTTATACACGCGGCATCGTCCGCGTTTAGGTGGAAAATAAATTTATTTGTAAAAAATGTATTTCTCACTAACATTAGCTAACAAATTCATTGGAAATTTATAATTTGTTCGACTGATACAGAAAAATATTTTATATCTGTTTTTTTTACGGTGAATTGCTGGATTATAAAATTTCGTTGAAACTCGTTTAGCCATTTTCTCGTGATGCTGTAAAATAGGATGACAGATACAAATTCTAAAAATAACTGATCTGGGTGTTACTAAACTGGTATCTCGTTATTTGTAGCTCCCCTAAGCCTTAATTTTTTTTATGAATGACACTTGTTATAAATTATTAATAGGTAGTTACTGAGTTTCAAGTGTCATCTATCACTAGAGGGAGACTCTGTACAAAAATCATATTCTGAGGAACCTTTATGGCAGTAAAATGACTGAGTCTGGAGACATAATATTTTAGTCTTTAGGAATGTCAATGCTTGAGGGGGTATAATGGGCGTCGCAGTGTATACTGTGACTCCTCATGATCCGTTTCATGTTCGTAGGTGATGGTAACCATTTTTTATTATGTGTGTTATTAGCTTATTACCGATTCCATGTGGTATAAAAAAAATATGTGGAATCCATCAAAATAGTCAGACAAGCACAGTTACTTGTATATGAGTATAGTATTAGTAGTTGCTGAGATATAACGCTCTGAAAGATAGACAGACGGACGGACAGATAGTACACACAAAGTAATACCGTAAGGATTCCTTTGTACCTTTTTGGTACGGATCCCTAATACTTAAAATAATATAAATAATTGATTGAACTTATGTTTGCGATGAATAAAAATATGAGTATATACTAAAACGAACATGTTTTTTTTAATAAGTGATAATAAATGCAGTGGGGGATGATAGGTGGCGATGAAAGCAGGTATACATACATACATACATACATACATATATATATATATATATATATATATATATATATATATATATATATATATATATATATATATATATATATATATATATATATATATATATATCTCCTCTATACTGTTAGTATACCCCTTTCCCCTGAACAAAGAATATTAAGAGGATAAAACGTCATAAAATAAGAGAGAAGAACTCCAAAAAAAAAAAATTAAGCCATATTCTTGGGTGCTTATTTGTTTGGAGTCTGAACTAGGCTTGGAATAATTTACTAGTAAGTAGCATATATTCAATACAATTGCTACTTTTCTTCAAATATTCCGCTACAAGTAGCAGTAAATGATTCGTGAATCATAAGTTGCGCTTAATTAGTAGTGAAATAAAGTCACAGCTCACAGCCAACTTGTTCGTAAAGAGCAAACGAACAGATATTTTAGCACACAGATAATAAAAATCATAATGAATATTCCATATTAGTAGCAGAGTGATGTTAGATCGTTGCAAATGAAATTCACGGCCTATGATTTTTCACAGATCACACCACTGTGATTGTAAAAAATAATTTCACTATGTATGATAATGAACGAAAAGTAGCAATCATTTCCGTGCCTAGTTTGAACACGGAATAAAAGCCAGACTGTGATTTTTCTCACGTTAATAACAGCTATTTATTTACTGCTCAACATTACATTGGTCTTACACGGCCGTTAGAAAAGAAAGACCTTAAATGATCTTCATTTGTCAAGTCCTTGCGCTCTTTGTGGTCATTGTATACAGTTTGTATCTCTCCTTATTATACCTATAATTAAAAGCTTAACGCAGACGAGAAACAAACCTCGCTGCGTGTTTCGAGTGGCTTTAAATTAAGAATTTAATGTTCAATCGTATCCTATTTTGAAAATATTCTTTGTTTTTACAATGCTGCGTTTACTTGCGTGATTACAATGTTTTAGAGACGGTTGCTTTGACTTTCTATATTATGTGTTGTTTTTAGCTTGTTTTTATTTTGTACAAAAGTCGATTGCTTGAATACCTCTGTCCCATTCGTGTTTCAACCGTGAACAAGCTGTGTTTGCATGGCTGTGTTTCGGTTTGAAGGGTGGGATATGGCGTGAATTTACTGGGTACAGAGGAATAACACCCGAGTCCTCAGGAATGGCAACGTATGGGGGGTATCATGGGCGAAACAGTATACTCTGTTATGTCCATGGTACTGCTCATGTCTATAGGCGACGGTTACCACTTTCCATCAGGTGGACCGTCAGTTTGTTTTCCATTCTATGTTGTATAAAAAAAATTTAAACTAGCTATCTGACCTAGCTTTACATGGATGTATTATATTAATGAAGAAAGTGAGACCAAATCCTCCATACATATATGACAATGTAATGAAATTAATACATGTATTCCATAATTTATTTTTTTATTGACATAGATTATATTTTAAAATAATAATAATTCATCTTCGTGAAGATGAGCATCAGCCTGATCTGTCTAAGAAAATTTTATTGGTGTTATTTGAAACTATGTAATAACATGTTTTAATATTAAATTAAAATTGAAAGCTGTAACATTTGTATTCATTCAGAAGATAAGAAAAATAATACTATAAAGATTCAGCAATATATAATATCATTTGTTTTAATTTTGGAAAATTGCTGTATTTTTTTTAATAATATTAATTTATCATAATTTGTTTATAGTACATGCGTAAACTCCCGTCAATTCGGAGAAAAATAAGAATAAAAAAAAACCTGTCCAAGCCTTTATTAAGAATGATTGACGGTGGAAAAAACCAATATGGACAGATAGGTAGGATTTTATTCAAACAACATCGCCATGGTGGATTTAACCTTATTTAAGACTATCAAGTAACCGTAAAAATATTTTTTTACAAAAAGAAATATATATTTTTTTCTAGAAAATGTTTTTTTTTATTTCCTATTCATTTCTTAGAATCTCATGTTATATTTTATATGAAACTACTAAGTTGTACTAGTAAAATAAGACCAAATCTTCTCTTTTTTAACTCAAATTTTTCACTTTTGCATACAATTTTATGGGCATTTTTTTTTAATATAAACTTTACTACGTGTTTCGTACATAAATATATAAATATGAGGTGACATAACCATTATTACATTTCTCATACGAAATATGTAGCTAATAGTTATAATTATTGATATTATATTTACGTATTTTCTTGTAGGTCATAATTGTAATTAAATTTAGCTCACATATTTTTTCTGTTAGTCAACTGTCAAAGGTAGGTAACTTACAATAGAAATATTGTATATTATTCAATATAATTTTTACTCATAGTAGTATTGTAATGATTTTATTATATATATATATATCTTATATATAAAATTCTCGAGTCACGGTGTGTTTTGTGTGCATATTGGGTAAATCTGAGAATCGGCCAACATCTATTTTTATACCCCTCAATGATAAGGGTGACCTACTCCTAAAACATTTTTTTTATTTTTTTAACAATTTTTTTATTTTAATTTTAATATGATTTGACATTGAAAAATACATACAACTTAAAATTTTCATCGTTTTACGATCAATGCCCTGTATTTTAATTGTGATTTATATATTTCGCAATAAGTAGTAAAACAACGTTTACGGGGTCAGCTAGTATATATATATATATATTTTAAAAACTAATGCAGCGTATCACCGTATCACTCGTATTAAGAAGCACCTTGAGGAAATTCAAGCACAAAATAAAGCCATGTTGGAACACATGCGACTGAGTAGTTACATTGAACAAAGGGCAAACGAGCATGCGGTCTGATGGTAGGTGATTACCGCTGCTCATGGGCACCCGTGGCACCGAAGGATTTGCAAGTACGCTGTCAGACTTTTAAAAAGGGATATGATCTTTTCTTGAAGGTGACGATATCGTATCGTATACCTGTTATCAAAAATCTACCCAATCGCTTCTGATATAGATATAGATTTAACACACTAAGCTCAAATGTAAGTAAAAAAATAACGATACTAATAAATAAAAAAGAATAATAACATTATTTATAATCTGTATCATTCTTTGAAGGGAACAATAAAGAGTTTTCATTCATTCATTAAATTGAATAAAAAAAAGTAAAAAAATAAAATAGTAAAAAGTCACAGATAATGTTCAAAATCTATAAATATAAGAAACTAAAGGAATTAAAAAATTGTAATGAAAAATTAAATAAGAATTACAAATAAGTGAGTTATTGGAGAAATAATTAATAATTACAGACCTCACTGTTTAACGATGAAATTTTAATCAGCAAAGAACAAAATCTCAGAGCGTGCTGTAGTGTTAGACAATTTAATTGAATTGGGTAATTACAACATAACGCGGTTTACCTCGCTGACTGAAAGATGTCGCTACGATCCACCAGAATCAAATTAATGTAACCAAGCGGATAATTTGTATATATCTCCTGTCATTTTAGAATCAAAATTCAAATTAAAATTCAAATATTTTTTTGTTATTAGCACTTTTAAAAATTATTTAAAAGTGCTTGTAGCACTTTTAAATAATTTTTTTTTCAAAATCTATTGCAGGTTTCGGAAAGTTATTATCTGTTGAGAAGAGCCCGTAAAAAATTCAACAGTTACTCTTTTAAATCTCTGTTAACATTCTGTGTATTTATTTAAATGTCTGAAAATGTAAAACTATGTCTGAAATTACATGGTCATTATCAATCAAATTAACCACTCCGTGCTAATAATATTTCAGTAAATCTTTACTAATATTATTAATGTGAAAGTATGTTTGTTTATTTATTACATTATAAGGCCTTAAAATTTAGTATACATGAACTATATGAGATGGAGAAGAATATAAGCAACTTTTTAACATATTCCGACTACGCGGG